AATTTTTTTATTAATATTTCTTCTACACGTTGATCAAATTCTGTAACAAGATCAGCTGCACTACCTTTTGTTTCAACATGTTTTGTTATAGAAAAGCCTTCATTTACAACCTATAATATATACATATTTTGTTTGCATATTTTCTTTTTTTTTGTTTTCCACATAACAAAAATCAGTGGAGCATATTTTTTTTTTTATTAATATTTTTCATGTTGCCTCATAATAACAAATCAAAGAAAGAAGAAAAACAACACCGTTTTTTGTTCGTTTATAAAGGTAAATATACTTACTTTTCCTGCTAAAGATACGAGATCGAGTACAGTTTTGTAATAAATTTCAATTTCTTTTTCTGTCATTCTCTTTACGGATAGAAGACTATCTAGAATAAAGTATTAAAAAACATATATATGAATATAATTAATTTTATTATAAAATATTCAGAAGAAAATTTTATGCTTGCCAAAACAAGCGATTGTAATAAGAACAGTATTTTTAACTATTTCTTCACATTTATTGATCTAGAAGAAAAGAGAAATGTAAAGAATATATAAATCTTAGATAAGAAGCATTGATTAGAGCGTATTTTTTTTTTTTGATTAATAATAAATAACAGAATTTTTAAAGCAGTAGTGAACAATTCAAAACAAAGAAGATTAGAGCTAAAAGTTTGTCACTAATCACTTCTAATAGTCTTGAGAGTTTCAACAAAAACAAACATGTTTTTTTTTTTTCATGAGATATTTAATTTACATTTTATTAATACTTTCAGAAGTATCAAATCAGTTCATTGACAAAATTTTCGTTCGAAACTCTTATAAGTAGATCATGAACCTAAAAAAATTTTTAAGCCTTTCTTAATGTCATCAAGACCTACTTGTATTTATTAATATGAAATCGAACAATATCCAATAGCTAAGAATATATTCCCTCATTAGATCTGTCACTTTCAATTTTGATATAATTATGTAAAAGTTGCTCAAAAGCAAAACGGATGTTAATTATATTCAAAGAACTTGATAAGTCTTTAAGAAATTCTTCAAAGTTTGCATAAGACATGCAAATCTAGGAAACAAAAAAACAAACTCACAGATTGCTTATGTCCATATATTGTGACGATCAATTTTAATCATCATAGAAGGTATGACGTTTGTTTGATTTCTTTAATGTCATTATTTTATAATATATTTGCACTTCTAGTACAATTTGATTTAATATTGACTTTTAACCTCGTAAGATAAAATCTTGCATGATAGTAATTTCGAAACAAAAAAAGAAAATAATTGATTACAATATTGACCCATTTATTTTTAATTATTTTAAAATATGATATTTTCAATGAGAATAATTGAATTAGAAAGAATTTCTATCTTAAATTGTAAAGAAAATACTAACCTGAATCACAATATTAATGTCGGAATCTTTATTGTTTGAAATTAATAATCTCTAATACAAGCAGAAAACGTTTCTTATATGTTATCTATTAATATTAATTCAAATTCTAGTTGTTTAAAATAATATTTTATGTTATTCTTTTGACATGAGAAATATACTTTTTTTATGTAATAGACGATGAAGAAAAAAAAAAAAATTTCTATGCTAATTCTCATGAGAAAAATGATTGATTACTTATAGACAATATACAGTTAATAATATAGTAAAAACTAAAGGATAACAATAAGATTATTCTTACATTTATATTATATTCCACTGAATAACACTTAAGTGAACATAAAACAGTCATGTACACACAAGAATGAGAAGAAAATTTCCATTGAAAATTATTATTATTATTATTGTAAACAAATAATTGAATCATGAAGCAGATTGTATATATTTCAAAGGATAATAAATTGTTTTTGTAGAAGTCTTTTTTTTTCTGTTTTCTTGTGCTTGATTAATGATTCATTGCTAGGACTTGTAAACCTTTCTTCCTTCTTGGTTTTGACAGTGTTCTTCTCGAGTATCAGTAGAAAAGATGGCGTTGATAGATGGATTCCAATTTTATTCTTTTCACATTATTAATAGAAAATACAGAGAGACTATCAAGAAATTTACTCTACTAACGTTGACTTTCATACATATAACAGACAAGGATTTTGTCGTTTTTTTTTCTTTTTCTTTTTCATTCTCATTTTTAGTTGTCCTTTTGATGTTATATACGATCATATGAATATAATTAACTTCGTATGCGGACAAGTCGACATGAATAAAAGATTAGATTTAGAAGTTAATGCAGTTAAACTAATGATTAAGTAGAAAGACGATCGTATTTATTTTAGATTTATAGATCTCTCATTGACATCCAACAAGACCTTGATGTTCATTCTACTAAGAACAAGTATGAAACGAATAAATCAATTATGAGATCATCATTCTTTCTTTTTCTTATAATAATATAACAGCACTAAAAATGTCAGTACTTGAAAGATTAAAACTTCAGAATTAATCGTTTCGAACATTGTTAACGTAAGTGAATATAAGACAAAAGAAAAATATAACGGACAATTCCCTTATTAACATAGTACAGTAGATTTCCCTAATTCTGTCGGAAATATTTTACCACTTTTTGTTTCAATTAGTGTGCAACTATTATACATCCGATCAAAAATATTTTTATATTTAGGTAATCTCTGGATTTTCCTTTTTTCAAATGATATATTATTCGTCTTTCATTTTTCGTGTTTTCATACTGAAATTAGCGGTCTACGAAAAATGGTTTCACCTGACAGAATTAGATGGTAGTTCCCTAATCCTGTCGGTCAGCAAAATAATTTCCCTAATTCTGACGCCTCTAATAAATTACATAGAAAAATTCAATTTTAGGAAAAAAAACTATTTTTCTCATTTTTTTTATGAGAAATGGAGGAAACGTGTCTAAGACATTTTTGTAGCGCGCATCAAGCTCTATCATTATCTAAAGGTTCAAGACAATTGTATTTTCTTTTATTAAGATACAAGTCTTGCGATGAAGACACCCAAGGGTCGTGAAAACAAAATTGTGTTTAATTCTGTCACCCAGCTATTTTTTGTCCCTAATTCTGACGGTGACTGTTTTTATCCATAGTGATGACTTATCAGTCATTTTTTGTCCCTAATTCTGACGGTAACTGTTTTCACCCCCAGTTATGACTTTTCAATCATTTTTTGTCCCTAATTACGATGGTAACTATTGTTTTCGTCTTATATTATAAGAAGCAACTATTCCAGTGACGATACTTCAGTAAAATATTAGTATACATGTATACTAATATTTTACTGAAGTATCGTCACTGAAATAATTGCTTTTTATAATATAAGACGAAAACAATAGTTACCATCGTAATTAGGGACAAAAAATGACTGAAAAGACATCACTATGGATAAAAACAGTCACCGTCAGAATTAGGGACAAAAATTACCTTGACCGTCAGAATTAGGGACAAAAAATAGCTGGGTGACAGAATTAAGCACAATTTTTTTTCCATGACCCTTGGGTGTCTTCATCGCAAGACTTGTATCTTAATAAAAGAAAATACAATTGTCTTGAACCTTTAGATAATGATAGAGCTTGATGCGCTCTACAAAATGTCTTAGACACCTTTCCTCATTTCTCATAAAAAAAATGAGAAAAATAGTTTTTTTCCTAAAATTGAATTTTTCTATGTAATTTATTAGAGGCGTCAGGATTAGGGAACTACCACCTAATTCTGTCAGGTGAAACCATGTTTTGTAGACCGCTAATTTCAGTATGAAAACACGAAAAATGAAAGACGAATAATATATCATTTGAAAAAAGGAAAATCCAGAGATTACCTAAATATAAAAATATTTTTGATCGGATGTATAATAGTTGCACACTAATTGAAACAAAAAGTGGTAAAATTTTTCCGACAGAATTAGGGAAATCTACTGTACTACATGATGTCAGCAATTTTAACAAAGAGATATAGTACAACGACACACTGACTGAACACTTTTTTTTATACATGATGAATAATTCAATAGTTTTGTATGAGTAATATATATCTTACTAACGTAAAGATTTATATGAAATAGTTGTATATAAAGACATTGATGGAACTATTTATATCTTTTCAGTTGTATGTCTACATTTTAAAGCATTTGTTCATTATCATCCATTAGACAAAAAGAAGTTTGTGATTGTCCATTTGACGAATCCAATTTTCAGAGGTATAACAAAAGTAAAATATTTTTTTTTTGATTTTCTAGGTTATCAACGGATCAATTAAATATAATTTATGAAATCGTCATTATGAAATTTATTCTATTATTTTAGAATGATGTTGCTTTGTATGTTTGTTTGTGTTTAATGATACACATAAAATCTTATTGATCATAGTTAAACACAAGAATCTTCATTCTATTTGATTATTGTATATCATTCTTAAATAAAAATTTCAATAACATCATATGCTTAAAGCTAAAACAATGTGAAAATAAAAAAAAACATTATCAATTCCGATATATATTTTATCAGTAAATAGAAAGACTAATGATGGATAGTACTAACTTTTCAGCACTATGATTCTCTTCTAAAGAAGTTTGAATATGATATTTTCTATCAAGAGATAAATATGATTATTCAAATAATTATTGCTACGCTCTCAAGATCATATTTAGAATAGATTAAATTTATACTAAAATCAGATCATAAAACATGCGTAAATATATTTTTCATCAATAAACTTTCGATATACATTGTGATTTGTTTATATCTCTTTTTCTATTAATTTTATTGATTAGAAAGTGTGATTATGCAAGCGTTTTTGATAATTTAATAATTCATTTCGATTCAACTAACAATAATACACATGTGTCTTTCTTAAAATAGGCTTTTCAAAATTTTTAGATATCTTCATCTTATTTCAAAAGATAAGCATTATTTTGTTTGATCATATATATTTTCTTATAGTTCTATCCAAAATTACATAACAAATATAAGATTTACACAGAAAAAAAGAATTTTTTTATTACCAAAAAAGAAAAAAAATACCATTGAATTAAGAATCAAATGTTGATAAATGTTCACGTAATTTTAATATTTTATCTAATATAATGATTGATGGTCCCAAATTGATTTTCATATCATTTCGTAAATGTTTTTCTTGTATTAGTAACAATGCTGCACCATTAATTTGAAAGTTATAAAAAAATTCAGCTATTTTATCATCAGTAATACTTGAAATAAAATTTTTGACGTCAAATATCGACCATTGATTTGGATCATTGCATAAATTAAAATTTTTCTTGTCTTTTTTATTTTGATGAATAATAATAGAATTTTGTTCTTGATCAAAAGATTTCATTGAAGACAAATATGATTGAATTACATTAGTTGTTATTGTTGATGTAGGAAGATTACTTGATGTTGGATATAGTATTGAAGAATTTCTTGTTTGATCTACAGCTACACTAGTTGATAAAGAATTATGTGATTGAAAACCTTGAAATGTTGGTGATGGTGTTGATGAACGAGGAAGAATTATTGGTGTTTGTCGAGGCATTACTAATGTTGTTGTTACCATTTGGATTTGTTAATTCTGTACGTTCAATTAATGAACAACTTCTTATTCGTTTATTTGTCGATTGATCATGTTCATATGATCTAAAGAAACAAAAAAATGAATTTTAAAGAAAAACGAAAACGAACAAACTAAATTTTACCTTGTTCGTTGACGTTTCTTTTTTAATAAACTTGAACTAGTATGATGAAAGAAATAAAAATGAGAGAAAATAGATTAGATTTTTTTTTTTTGTTTTACCAGTTCAATTGTTGGTAATGATGATGATTAGCTCTTTGTGTTATTTGTGAAAGAGTAAGATCATCATGTGCTGTTGTTGTTGAATCATCTACTTCTATTCAAATAAATAGATTTATTTTTGTTCTTAAATCTTTTTTTGTAATTAACCATATGTATCATTATCATTATATATTGATGATGTGTCACTATTAGATGATTGTAAAGTATCTTCAAGTGAATTTGATGTTGGAAATACTGCTGCAGGTAATTGTGTATGACTTGTTAATGATTGTATTGTCCTCTTTGCTGTTACATTTGTTGAACTTTCTATAAAAATAAAGAATTTCTTTTTTTTTAATTTTTAATAAAAAATAACAATAATTTACTTGGATTTATATCAAATGATGAACTTGTATGAGCAGTACTAATTGCTTGTGAAGAACTTTCATGTGGCTAATAGAATAATCATCTTATTACATAAGAAAAATATTTTCTTTGTTTTTACCTGTTGTGTCATAAGAGAAGTACTAGAAATTTGTTGTTGTTGAGGAATATTTATTTTTGAAGAATTAGATACTAAAAAAAATACCCAAGATATCGTTTAATATTTTATTCGTTCGATTCTTCATTATTTTTGTCTTTTTCAAAAAGAGGAAATAAATGTTTTCTTTTTTCATCGAAAAACACTTACAGATGAAAACATTTCCATTTGTTTGAGATGAAACAAAAACAGGTTGATTAGTTATGGAAGCAGCAGGTATGAGTCTTTCTTGAAGAATTTGACCATTTTGATTTCGAAATATAACAGGTTTTTGTACGTTATTAGGTACTTGAACCAACTAAAAGAAAAGATTTGTTTTAGATTGAATAGATGAAAAATATCACTCACTTGAACTTGATTACCATCAGCAACTAAATATATAGTAGATTCTTGAGATTGATTATCTGAATGATAAAGAGGATAAATTCATTGTTTTATTTTATTGATTAAATGTCTTACTTGTTGAGATAGGCTTTTGAATAGATGATGCTAAGCAACAAAAAAAAAGATATAAATATATGTTTTTTATTTCTATCACTTACCCATTTATTTATATGATTGAGTACTGGACTTGAAATACGTATTTCTAATGAAAACTTAAAATAAAATATATTCTTATTTTTTTGTTATATGAGTAAAGGTCTGGACATTTTTCTTTTAGTTGATACATCTGCTATTTGAAATATTGATAGTGATTAGTATCTTTCGACATGATCCTCGATCTTGAAATGATTGTTAAATAGAAATCAGTTTCGTAGAAAAGATGCAATTTATTCATTCTATCGAAATGATACTTTTATTTGTGGACTAAAGCATATTCAGTCTGTTTACTGTATAGTACGGTTCGATCGAATTTCTGTTAGATCGTAATAACATCAGCTTGATTCCTATAAGAATATGGATAGAAACAGGATGATAGAATGACATTCGGATTTCTAGTGTTGAATATCTGACTGGATGCTATTGTCGAAAACTTGAGATTTTTAAGTCAGTACTCATGGATTGAGTGTTATTTATATTGATGCGGATAAACAATGATCTCAAAACGTTGAGTTTTGATATTTGGCTTACTTATTTGAATCCTAGTTTTGTATCTTATTTTTGACTTGTTTTTCTAGGAATGACTGTTTGAGTGAACTGATATCTGTATATAGATAGTCTCATCCGCGAACGTGTATCTAATACACTGGATTTCTTCTTGATTGAGGACAGTTTTTCTTGATTGGACAAAAAAGGGTCGGCAAAGTAGAATTGGAGAGGAGAGAGACAAAAATAACTGCTATTATAGAAACAAGCAAATACTCATATGTTTAGATGATCAATACAGGTACTTTCATGTAAGAGGCAATATCATCTCCTTGAAGATATGCTGGTATCAAATGACATGTGTCGTCCACACCATTTTTTAATGTATACTCTGAATGAAATCTTTTAAAGCAGCAATAGATATGTATTCATAAGTGAGAAGCATCAACAATAATTCGGATTGAGCAAGAACAAGTTCGACAATGATGGTCTCTTGGATCTCGCTAGTTATTAAACTCAAATTTCTCTTTCGAATTGTGAAAATCGCAGGTTTCTAAATATTTTCGTTTTCGAGGTATTCAAAAAGATCTAATAAGTAATAATAAAATATTATCATGAAATATACTAGACGTGTTTGGAAAAAAACTGTCGAAGTTCTAGATTCAAACAATAATATTTTCTTTTTTTTTTTTTTTTTTGAAAGAGATATCTACTTTTGATTAGATAAACCTTTGTAAGTGTCATTGTTCGGTTTTTAATTGTTCCTAAAAAATCAAACGAAATAATTTTCATCTATGAATATGCACTCATAGTTTTTTTCGTACCAGACGAACGAAGAAAAACAAACAATTTCATTGTGGATCTTTTTTATACAATAACAAACTGCAGACAAATAAATCTTGCTTCGTCACTTGTTTATTGATAATAGTATGCAGAACGCAACATTCTTTGACCTATATAATGTTAGCAAACGTAGAAACAGTACTTGTAAAGTATTGCAGCATTACTTTGATATCTTAGTATACTATAGATTGATAAGTGAAATAACTTGACGCTTTACTATCGTAGTACAAATCAACACACCGCAGAATTCCTTACCTAAAAGTATTATTCTTCAGATACTTGAAAAAAAAACATCGTTGTCTCAATCATTTTAAAATCAACAGTAATTATTGAGTACATTATAAATTTCGTATTTTTGAAAGAGAAAATTTTCAGACAAAAAAAAAACACAAAGTTTATCCTATATTTTTAATTTTCATATATTTAGCAAAGATTGTGTCTTGCTAATATTGCATAGGATACTCATTCGATGGATATTCTGAAATATTATTACGATTAGTATCATGGGAATCATTTTGCTCCACTCCAATCATGTGTGACGGTGCAAGTGCATCCAACAATGAACGAAAACGTATATCACGACAAGCATTTCGTTGTACAATACGATTTTCACGTTGTTGTAAAGCACATAATGATTTACGATCAAGTGGTGTATTTCGTACATCAATTGTTTGTACAAGTTTCCTATAATCCGCTATGCAATCGACTTGAACAATACGTTTATCATCACGATCCAGACACCGCAAAAGACGTTCTATTTCATTTGAATGCAAATTGTCTGCTGAAGTTTGTGTACTTGTCATTGTACTTATACTAGTAGTTTTTGGTCGTTGCCAGCTACTTATAGATCCTGAAGGAGCCGATGAGTCTAATGTTCTCCATGCAGGTACACTCAATACATTGGTTTGAGATTCACATGTATTTCTACTGGTAGTAGGACGTTGTGTAATGTGAGAAACTTGAACATTTGTAGTAGGTTGACGAGTAGATCGATGATAAGCTGATTGAACACGATTTATACGAATGGTACTCATTACTTTGTCGGTGAATATAAATTTAATATAATTGATTTTTTTCAACCGAGAGGTTATTTTTTACTTTTTCTTCTTAAATACACAAAAAAAGTTTTTTTTTATCGAATACTAAAAAGTGACATAACTTACACTGAAGAATGGAATAAGATCAATTTTTGCTTGCCATTGAAACGTTCGAATATTGATCTTTTTAGTTTGTTTCTTACTTTTTTTCAAGTAACTCTAACAGCTAGGCTTTTGTTTTTACAATACTCGATCAAAAATAAGAGAGCAAATACTTCTTTCTATTTTTTTTTATTCTTATAATTAGAAATCATTGAGAATCACTTCTCGTAACTTTCTTCATCATAATGATTCTGTATGAAAACTGAAGCCTGCTATATACAACAGACAAAAACAAAATAAAAACAAACGAAACGACCAATTGTTTTATGTCTAAGCCATGACAATAATAGAAAAATACAACATTTTTATTGATCAAATTTTTTTTTTAAATGTATATAGAAAAACAATCCTACATCAAACAAGAAACAAGATTTCTATAAGAAATAATTTTAATAAATTTTAACCAAATGTTCATTTGTTATTGGTCGACTTGATGTTGGACATCGATGGTATCGTTTAACATAGTCACTAATACATGCATGACAATAAACATAACTCGAACCAAGTATCACTGTTGGTATATTACATGAATGTCGACAAAGAGGACATTGATGTTTATTATCAAGTCTAGGTCGTTTTCGATCAATAATAGGTGATGATGGATTGGTAACATGATTGACAGAGTTTTGTTTTGAACCATAAGAATTATTCCACCAGTCGATCAATTGAATAAGAAATAGACCATTTGAAATAATTTGACTAATTATAGAAAAAAATCGACTCGTATTTGATAATGATGGAATAGTTGGTGATGGATCTTTGGCATAAGTTAATTTAACATTTGCTAAATGAAGAGTTGGACTATAATATTTAATTAAACCAAATGCATAACTCAAACGGTAGAGCCAACTGATACCATCGACAAGAATCTTTAACGAAACAAAAAATAAGAACATTATTTCTACTTATTAATGAAAAGTTATTTGATAGATTATTATTATTGATTTTAGGTGAAGAACTAACTTGAATTTTAGGTAAAAGCTGCAAAACCATATAGTATATGACATGACGATTAGTATTGTTGTCATGCATTTGTTTATGTAAAGAATTAAGTTTTAATTTGACATAAGGTAAAAAAACCGAAAAAATAAGAGAACGTAATCGATGATCTGCTGTTCGTTTTAATCCATAAAAATGTTCACCGATAAGAGCCGAATGAAAATGAAGATAGAACC